AACGGTGTGGGGCCTAGGACACAGCCCAGCACAGACTATCCAGTGCCACTTCCCAGCTCAGTTGGTTACACACACACTCAGACTCACAAGCTTGTTCTTTAGGGGCTGTTTTCAGAGTCAGAAGCCCCACTGAAGGACACAGTAAGAATTATTGGCAACTTGTCATTGTGAAGTGTTGTTGAGTTGGTTCCGACTCATAACAACCCTGTCTAGGGTTTCTGAGGCTGTGCATCTGTGTGGGAGCAGAAAACCCATCTTTCTCCCATGGAGCGGCTGGTGGACTCGAACCACTAACTTTGTAGTTCGCAGCCCAGTGCTTATTGTATAGAGCCATTGTGCTTCCCATCAGAAGCCTGAGGCCGCAAGAGACTTGGGAGAAGAAAGGAAGCATATTCAAGAAACTAGATGAGCAAGAGAAGTGGAGCAGAGGGTCTGACATTCAAACTGCAATGACTGGGGTGGTCAGGTTGCAGGAGACCCTGAGCAAGAAGGATCTCAATGAGAGGAGCAGACACCCAGACGTGAAAGGGATCCTGTAGACACTTGCAAGTGAGGAAGAGAATTTCTATTATTTCCTTAGAGACCTCAAATCCTTAAGTTCTGCATTTTGCTAAACCCACTGGCACCACAGCCAGCCAATGCCATTTGGGACTGGCACTGTGTGGATGTGGGAGGAGGAGAGTGGCCAGTCTGGTGACAGGAGGATTAATCTGGGAGGAACAAGGGCCTATGTCACCTCTTTGTCCAGGTGACTGCCTCCTCGACCCCCAGATTGGTCGTGGTTTCACAGCTCTTCCAAAGGCTGGCCCGTCACCTTCCCTCTCTTCTTTCTCACTGAGCCCAGAGAAGCCGTCCCCAGGTCTGGGCCTCTTGCGGGCACTGCCAGCCTCAGAGCAGCTCTGCAGTTTCCAGCTCTGACAGGGACTCTTTCTTATAAGCAGTCATGTGCTAGGAGTATAGGACGTCAAGGGAGGCCCACACCCTGACACACAGGGACCAGTACTGGAAGCTGGGGCTTGGTGGTGGTGGTGGGGGTTCAGGCAGCAAGCTCTTCCACCCACATCTGCTCATGAGGGTCTAAAGCCATTCATTCCCTTCCCCCACCCACAGTTTGAGGCACTGGGGACCAAGCCATTCCACTTCTTGACTTCTCCAAGTAAAACAAAACACATATTGCCCTGCTTCCTTCTTCCTCTTATAGGAGCCCCTTGAATGCACCCCCTTACCCAGTCATGCACACGCACGCTCACACGCCCCGTGAATGCACACCTCACATTCCCAAACTCACACCCAGGGCCGGCTCCTTTTACAACAGGTCCCAGCTGCTCACATCTCAAACCGGTTCTTAGGCGCTCAGATTCCTGAAGACTTCAGAAAACAATCTCATTTGGGGATTGCTGATAACTCTCTGCTTTCTCTGCCTGCAATAATTTCAGCCAAGGTCTTCTAGCCCCTCTCTCATTTCACCCTACAGCGATTCAAGGAGGTGAAGGGTGGGGGTGGAGTGCAGGAAAAAAATTCTGTTACTCCCATCCCTCACCCCACCCCTGCAGGCTTTCCCCAAGCTCTCAAGAACATGTCATTGAGAGAAGAGAGGTCAAAGGGAGTCGGGAGGAATTTCTAAGCAGTCAACCCCTCCTTCCCCACTCCTTCTAGAAAAATAGAAGGGGACTGTGAGAGGGAACTGATTGAAGATTAGGCTCTGAGAGGGGGTAAGTGTCTGTCTGTCTGTCTATCTATCGCTCCAGTGTGGCCTGGACCAGGCACATGCAGTAGCCGACTGCCCACGGGGCCACCCTCACCCACTGACACAGTTATGATTTTCATTTCATATTTTGGAGGGAGGGGCTAGGAGGAACAGTCCCCTCACTGTAAGAGCTGGCCACAGGAGCTGAGGAAAACGGGAGGAGAGGAAACAGCCACATTAAAGAGGAAGAGAAGGGTGGGGGGAACAGAGAGAGAGACACACACATACACTCAGACAGAGACCCAGAGAGACACACAGAGACACACAGAGACAGAGAGATACTGTTTGCCTCCAGATGAAAGCTCTCAGGCCCAGAGTTGATGTTACTTGGAAAGTCTAAATACACGACTCTATCAAAACTCTATCCCTAATGAGGAAAGAAAACAACCAGGTAAACTAAATGGCTAGGCTGGCTCTACTAGAGCCCGCCCCAGGGGACAGGGGACGAGTTTCCCTGCCCACCCCCCAATCCCAGACCTTTTCATTCTGCTGAAACCTGAGCCCTACCTAAGGATTAGTTAGGTCTTTTTAACCACTGCCACCCCTCTCCCCCGCCTCCAAAAAAAAAGCAAAGCAAATTAATGCTTTTAAGTTAACAATTATCTTGGTTATCCAGTCTGTCTACTTTAAAATACATAGACAGGCACTTGAAAACCACTCAAAACCATGTACACTCATGCTCACTCACTCCCTGTCCCACAAGCTACCCGCCACTCAGTCACACACAGTTCTCATAGGCACTAACACATTCACGTTCATGCTTAGCATCAGCTACATCCCTCCCCCTGCCCCATGGGAAGATGATTGTGGTCTCTCTCTGACACACACACACACACCCCTTCAAACTTAGGGCTCCCTTCCTTGATTTCCTCCTCATTTCATACTACTTTGGTTCTTCCATTGTGGGGCTCACCAGAGAAAAAGGACAGAGACCCAGATATCAAAAGTACTAGTAACTCCATGTAAGATACTAGTGAAGGGTATTTGCATTTTAAAGACATGTCAGAACTTCATTTTCAACCAAGGAGGGCTTTCCTGGTGCCCGCTGCACTCCGTCTATGGGTAAGGTTGTCAGGTTGTCCTGCCGGTCCGTACTTATCTTTCCTGTAGTCTTTGTCTGTGGATTTGGGTTTAGAAACCGCCCTCTAAGTCAGTAAACCTGTGGATTTGGGTATAGAGATCGCCCTTTAAATCAGTAAACCTGTTGTTAGGCAATCTCTGACAATCTCATAGATTTCCTGAATAGCAAAGGGTCAAACGTAGCTAAAATGAGGGGCTTCAGTTATGCCAAGTTAGACTCAGGAACCATAAGGAAGGAAAATACCAAGTAATCAAAGATCAGTCAGAGCAAGTGTTGGTGGTGAACTGAGATGAGCAGCGGAGAACACTAGTCTGTAAGTTCCTAGAGGGTAAGGGCTTTCACCCTTGGCTGCATTTCCCACTGCACCCATCAGGGTGTCCAATGCATGTAGGAGCCTTGAAGTACCTTGGAGGAATTCCTGAGTCCTTCTGTCCCTGAACGATGGGCCAGTCTCTCCCAGGCTTTAGAGCCTTGGCTTGATAGCACCTGTCTCCTCTAGGGGTCTCCATCTGTCCCTGGGACCCCGTTAGATACATAGTGCTTGCTCTCTTCCCTATCCCCAGCCCCCACCACCTCACCAGGCCACCACAGACACTGGCTCCAACTTGAAAGAGGCCCTTATCTTGTCTCTAGATTACTGCACGAAATCTGTTCCTTCTTTCAGACTAAACTCCCCAGCTAATTCCATGTTATGAGTAAGTCAACACACACTACAAAAGCCAGCTTTGTTTATGAAAACACAAGCAAATCCACAGAGGGGAGAGGGACTGCTCCCAGTTGAGGATGGAAGTGGGCTGTCTGGAACCAGGACAGGAAAAGGGGTAGTTTGGGGCTGGAAGGGCATGAGATTGGGATCTGGTATGGGACAAGGACTCCAGTTCTGGAAATGGGCAGGCTAGAGAGAGAGTTTGCTGAAGAGGCAGTGTTTCAGGAGAGGAGGGTGGCAATGATAGAGCACCTCTCTTTAACAGAATGGGAGCCCATCCAGTACCCAAAGCAGCTTAAGAACCAAACGCTCAGACTCCGGGACACAGTGACCTCACTGCCAGACACTCAGGCTTCCCCAACTCCCAAGTTCAACTTCCCCTTCTGGCCCAGCCACCTCCTAACCCCAGCTTGGACAATAGGCAGAATCCTATCCTTCTAGGCAATGCCTTGCCAGAAGAAGTTTTCTTTTTGTCTATATAAATCTCTTCCTTGGAGAGGACCTGATGGGGGAGGGGTGCAGCAAGAGGTCAAGGGGGAGGGGAAACTGTCCCCAAGAGCACTGTCTTCACACCAGCGTGGTTTCTAGGAGCACAGCCTATGAGATGAAACTGCTCAGCTTTGGGACTGATGAGGCGATGAGCCCGAGGTCAGGGATGGGGGCGGGCGGGCGGGCCTCCCGGGTCTCTCTTTAATTCCTAGAGGGATCTGTCAGAGCTCCCGAGCCTGGAATTTTACTTTGTTATTTTAATGTAATTCTGACCTGGATTTAAATGGAACTGGAAACCCGAGGCCTTAATAAATAAATATTATGATAAGAAATGAAAGCCATGCAAGACGAAAGAGATTTCCCCCAAAAGAGGCAGAAACACAACATTCTAGCCGGGAGCCAGTCACAGAAAATTTCCTTCTCTTCAGCTCCCTAACATCCAGTGTGAGAGACGAGTTGATTTTTCCATAAAAGCCTTTCTTTTTCTTGAACATTTTTCCATTTGATATGACAGCAACTTTGAAATTTAGATTTAACTTTAACTAAGGGTTGGGGGTGAGAGGAAGAAATCTACTGCGTGGCTAAAAAGTTTTCAGTCTCTCAGTCTTTGCAGGCCACGACTTTAAAATTCTGGCAAAGTTTAAGAGAAGAGGAGACTCTAATACTGTGGAGGTAAAGACATCTTTCAAGAGACTTGGGGTGGCAGTGAAGTGAAGCAGAATTCTACGATGCATGGTCATTTCGGCCACCGCGCCCCTAACTTCGTACTCCTCTGTGCTACCTCTAGCTCCTTTAGCCGTTCGCCCCGGGCGCAGCCCCCAGAAGTCAGGTCCCCAGCCAGGGAGTCCGGGAGCACTGGGCCCCGTCCTGACAGCATAATGCAACCCAGCACCTGCCCTGTCCCTCGGAAATCTCGCCCCCGCCCTCGGGCCCCGCCGCCCCGGCAGCCCTGGGGCCACGGGCCCCTCCTTCCTTACCTTGCGCAGCTTTGCTGTGTTGGGCGGCACGGGCGTGGACCAGCAGGACCAGCAGGCAGAGCCCAGGCACGCGTCCGGAGCCCATGGCTGGAGCTGTGGACAGCCGGGGCAGGTCTCGCAGTCTTGGGAGGACGGAAACTGGTCGGGCCCCCGTGCGTCGAAGGGGGAAGGGGAGGTGGAGCCCCGCCGGGGCCGGGCTGGGGGCTGCGGGCAAGGGGTGCTGACCGCGGCAAGCTCACGATGCTGACGGCTCCTCCCGGTCGAACTGGTTAGAGCGAGGCAGAGAACGAGACAAGGCGAGGGGCGCTGGGCGCCGCTGACGAAGAGGCACCCCCGCCTTCTCCAAGTTGGAGCGGCGGCGGCAGCGGGGCTGCTCCGTCTAATCCCACCCAAGTCCCAGCTTCGCTTGGAAAGAGCTGCAGCGGGGAGAGCGCGCCGAGCCGGAGCTAGGGACCTGAGAAAGGGGAGGAGAAACACCGCGCCAGAAACACGCCCTTTCTGCCTCTCTTTCTTCCTCTCTCGCTCTTTCTCTCAAGCTCCGTCTCTTTTTCTTAGCCTTTCTCCTCCTCCTCCTCCTCTTTCTCCTCCTCTCTTCGCTCTTTTTCGTTTTCTTCCTCCTCCCCCTCCTCCTCCTTCACCACCTCCTTTTTCGTGCCCTTTTTTCTTTCAAATGGGGCCTCGGAGCAGCGACCGCTCCCCCTGCGCGCCCGGGCGCGGCGGCCCCCTCCCCAGGCTGCCGGGCCGCTGCCTGCAGGAATTTACAATCCGGCGCTGGGGGAGCGGGCCCGGTCTCCATGGAGACGGCTTCCCCGGGAGCAAGGAGGTCAGGCGCAGACCGCGCACAATCAATGGATCAATGCAAACCCCGCTCGACTCCAGACCAAACAGCACCCGGCTCCAGCTCGCCTCTCTCCCCGCGGAAAGAGTGGGGGAGCGCAAGTGCGCCCCCGCTTTGGCACCCGAAGAGGGCCGTGCGGCACAGGTTTGCACGCACACCCCCACGAGGAGACAAAGAGGACGTGAGGCGTCGGAGGCCGAGACAGACATGGACTCACCGGCACTAAGGCATGCTCACCGACACATATGACAGAGCCCCAAAGGACCTTGCTTAGCCCGCACCACACGTCCATCTTCAGGACTCTATCTCCATTCCTCAGGCTAAGTCCACTTTAACTCAGGTTCAAGAAGAAAGTAGTCTTCCTTTTGAACGTTGCTAAAACTGCTAGTCCTGGGCAGGCCCTCTAAGACAGCTCACTGAGCCACCCTAGCCACACAGACCTGAGCTCGCATGTACCCACATTCCTAAGTTCAGCACAGGGACAAATGCGAACCCACAGAATCATGGCTGTATGCAAACACACACCCACATTACAGGTTTAAAAACGTGGTCCAGACCCATCCATTTTTGACCCTCCATTCCTCCAACTGCAGGGGCAGCAGAAGAAAGAGAAAAGATATATTTAAAACGAGGACAAAGTGCCTGAAAGAGCAATGTCTCCAAACCATCAATGCTGCCTGCCTCCTGACCCACTCTCAGTGTGCGCCTTCTTTCTTCCCATCCTAGAGGAAAGGTGATGGGGGCTTTCTGGGAGTGTTGGACTGAAATCAGATGGAGACCCTGCTAGGCCCTAACTTCAGAGCCAATCTTCTGCAGAGAAGAGATGTTGGGATCCAGCCTAGTCTCAAAGAGCTCTCAGTTACCTGGGAGGCAGACTTTCCTGAAGATAACTCAGTTCTTAAATCCTTGCTACTACAGTCTACGGCAGTGGTCAGCTACCTCCTCAAGCCCCAGCTGAGCCCTTTCTTCACTAGAGATTGGTAGAAAAAAGAGGATGGAAACAAACAGGTATCTGGGTTTTTTGTCCCAGCTTTATCCTGGGGACAAAGATTAACTTAGGGCAAGTCACTTTTCAATGGGCCTTAGTTTCTTCATCGAAAAAACAGAAGGATGGGGTTTGTTCAGTGGTGGAAGCCTGGGATGCATGGCCTGAGAGGTGACCACTGAAATGGGAGTTTGTGGGTCATGAGACTGTGGAGGCCAGAGACAGGTCTTTCCAGATGATCTCTGGGTCCCCTCTAGCCTGTCACTCTAGAACTCACTCCCTCCTTCATTCCACTGAGAAGCCCCTCCCCCTCACAGCCGCTTTGCCTGCTGCCACCAATTATATGTAGGGCTGGGGGACAAGTGCGAACTTGCCACCCTCTCGTTTCCAAACAAGAGAATGGTTAAAAAAAGAGAGAGAATTGAAGGCTGCCAGACTATACCTGATCTATATGGGGCAAAGGGAGGGTGACTGTACTCTGCTTTACGTTGTTTTCTCTCTGCCTTGCTTTGGGCACTAATGTAAGCTCCTCTGGGTCCCTAAGGATGCCCCCAGCCTACCCTCTATCTCACAGCTAAGGTAGACACAGAGGATTCTGTAGGGGAAGGTTAATGGGTCATCAGGGGCTTTTTATCCCTGATGTTCAGTGTAATTTCTTGGCCTTCTAAATGTGGACATAGCCCTAGTTTAGGGGGACAGAGGCTTGGGAAGTTGCCCTAACAAGCTGTTATGTGTCTGAGAGCATGGATGTCTTTTTTTCATTCTGTCAGCTTTTCCTCTGCTACTCTAGGGCCAGATGAGTCTTTCTTCCAAATCTGGACAGAAAAGGCAGTTTCCTGTCCCCTGAGTCTGGTCCAAAACACCCCAGCCCTTTGGAAGATATGGCACTGTAGGATCAGCAAGGTTGGCAGTTCAAACACACCAGCTGTTCCTCAGAAACCCTATCTCTATGAGTCAGAACGAACTTGATGGCACTTAACAACAACAACATGGCAGAGGCAGAGTTTCTGACACTGTGCACTATAAATTGGGCACACGTTGCCCTCTGCCCGATTTGCTTCTGCAGGACTCACAGTAGGACAGTGATTCAGAGAGATGAAGAGGAGAGAACAAGGAGATAGCTCTTGCAAGTGATGCAGCAAAAGCAATGGCATGTACCCTCATGGTCACCCCTCACTGGCAAAGGCAAAATAGTCAGTGCTCTCTGGGCCTCCTGCATTCGCCTCTCTGGGTTGCAATTTGCTCTTGGACTTCATGGGCCTTCAGGGATGCTTCTGACATCCATCTCTTCAAGTATCTGGGGAGAGGACTGGCTGGGGCATCAGAGCAGACGTATTTCAATTCCCATCCTGCTTAGGGATACCTCTGTCAGGTATTTGAGAGCCTTTACTTTTTCTTTCTGCATCTCAGCTTCCCCACATCTGTAAAATGACTCCTGGTGTGGTGCTTTAGGATCAGCATTGGACTATGAACCACAAAGTCGGCAGTTCAAATCCCCATTCTGTTGTTTTCTAGTTGTATGGCTTCAGGCAGCTTACTCAATCTCAGCAAATGTTCATTTTCTCATGTGAAAAAGGGCACGCATCTCATAAAGTTAGGGTGCTCATAAAATGAGATAACGTGTGGAAAACATCTGGCACATAGTACGTAGGCATTCAAAAGGTGGAGGCTACTATTTCATTACTTCCACAGCCGGAGTCCTGGTGTGGCACTGTGGGCTAATACATCAGACTACAAAGTTGTTTGAACTGCAAAGTTGGTGGTTCAAGCTCACCAGCTGCTTCTTGGAGACTCTATACAGGGTCACTGTGGGTCGGAATTGACTTGACAACAACAACAAATTTTCAGAAGGAGCACTGCCAATGTTGGGTAGTCTTGTTCCAGGCCAGGCTTTGATGTGGCTGAGTGCAGCCAACTGGGCTCCATTTACCTCCTCCAACAGGTTCTGTCTGTCACACATTCCTTCTGAGAAGGTTCTAAAAATTCCGTGCATTCCAGCACACTGTCCTTGTTGGTCACACATGTGGAGAGTTTGAGGGAAACTCACCTTCCAGGTAGTATAGTTCTGGACTATCTCCTTCCCTGCTGCCTTGAACCTCCTGCCATACCTTTCAAAGACATGGACACTTGGTGACATGCAGTAGAACTCACAGTCACCATTTACCAGGTGTTTTCTATGTGCCAGGCATGCCATCAGAAACCCATGAGGCAGGCATTGTTGTCACCATTTTATTCATGTGAAAATGAGATGGGTAGGTTAAGTAACTTGCCCAGGATGACAGATTAAGAAGGGGAAAAGCCAGGACTTGAGGTTAGACCTGACTCTGAAGCTAATATACCTCCTCCAGTCTCTATACAACCTCTTCTGAATCCATAGAGACCCAGCACCCTCTTGCCATTGTTATAGCCTAATCATTAGAGTCAGCTAAAGGTCCCAGGCCAGCCTCTTCACACAACCCACCGCAAAGGTGAGGCAGCACGTTTGTGCTGGAGACTCATGCAGCAGTAGGACTGCAGAGGATGCTGTTGTTAGTTATAGTTGCCAGTGAGTTGGTCACTAACTCATGGTGACACCATACACAATGGAACATACACTGCCTGTTCCTGAGCCATCCCCGTGATTATTTAGGGTTAGACCATTGTCATCATAGGCTTTTCATGGGCTGGTGTTCAGAAGTAGATCACCAGGCATTTCTTCTTAGTCTGTTTTAGTCTGGAAGCTCTGCTGAAACTTGTTGCAAGCCTCCATTGACAGACTGCACTTGAGATGCACTGTCTAGGAATCAAACCTGGGTCTCCCACAGGGAGGCTGAGAACCACTGAACCGCCAATGCTCCATCCACAGAAGACTTTAACCATCACATCTGTCTACTATATGGGAGGTCACATAACTTGCCTAAGACCACTGACCACATTTAAGAGGCAAAGATAGACCCAGAATCCATGTTGTCTCTGACTTCTGATTCATGGATCAGTGCTCCTCACTATGGACTCCCCGAGCTGCCAGTCCCTCTCCTTCAGGTCTCATTCTTCCTCTCCCTGATGATTTGACCAGCACCCATCCAATTGTCAAGTGGCATACAGTACTCATCTCATGCCACGCTACACACAGTTCTCTAGGCCCTTAACAGTTGCTTCAAGTCAACTCGGATCATGACAATCCTGTATTTATCAGAATAGAACTGTGCTCCAAAAGGTTTTCAATGGCTGATTTTTCAGAAGTAGATCACCAGGCCTTTCTTCCTAGGCATCTCTGGGTGAATTCAAACCTTTCAACTTTTAGATTAGTAGCTGAGCTAACC